GATATTTTCAACTCGTCCGGTGTGACGATTACTCGCTCTCGTTTAATTGTCGCTCAAACTGCTGATCTCTCTGCGTATCGTCGCTGGCGAAACTGGATTCTGTTTGAAATCGAACGAACTGACAGCGTAGACACGACTGAGATGCCGGCACCACGCGGCCACGGCTAAATACGATTGCCTGACAATCGCGCCTCGGGATACGAAACGGAAACTACGGTAGCGCCGTGACGTGACGCGACGGGACGCATGGCGTCCCCTGGCGACCCGTCCCTTGCGAGGAAATGCCTACGTGATATATCGACCGGTCTCCTTTTTTTCTTCTCGTATCTCTGTGTACCAGACGTCCACGGAAACGTCCTATTTGTTTCGATTGTTCAGTCGAAACGCGGAATTTTAAAAAAACAATTTCACGCTAAAAATACTCTTCCGCTTCCCTGACTACAAATGTCGTGAAAAATAATGGAAAGAAATGTTAAGGAGAAATGCTAATCGTTCCCCTTTTGGTTTTCATTGTGGATTCGATACAATTCATATTAAAATCAATTCGTGTGGTTTTTTTTTTAGAAAGCAGCCGGCGGTTATCCTCAGCTGATGAGGCAGTCCTTTGCCCGATCAATACTTTTTACACTACCAAAGAGACCTTTAATTTACTTGGAAATTGTGTGACACGTATAAATTATATTTAAAACAGTGGAAGACGTGGTACACAAACATCCTTTTTTGTCTACTTAAAATATTCCAGTAGCTTCTTAATTAATTCTGTCGATGTTTTATTACGTAGAAAATGCTATTTTGCAAATGATAATTGTAGAAACAGATCTCGTGTTTCCGTGCCTATAATCTATTCGTCTCATTCATTCACAGGATTATATGACATGCATAAACACTCAGCGCACAGAGACCTCATTATGTTAACGTTTATCCTACTGTATACAAAATCGACCGGAAAACGTTAATGGAAAAAACGTGGCTACGGAAAATCGAGTTGAAAATTGCACCGAAAGTTTTCTTTCCTGTTTCGGACAAAAAACGGTAGTACATGTACATAAACGTATCTTCACCTCGTACGTGTTCATTATTTTAGTCTCTAAAATTAATCTTCAACTCCAAAGTCCAGAGGCGTTATCGTCTCCAGACATGTGCGCATATGATGATAGAATCACGTGAATGATGTAAGATCCCTCAACAAATCCGTCGTGGACACGCGTTCTGCACTATGAGATCGATTAAAAGAATCCGGATGATCGAAAGTGTGTGTACATAAATCGTGTACAAAGTACGATGATAGTTACGAGTCACGATGAATCACTCTGTTGAATATTTAGGCATCGTTATAGCCACCAACTTTTACATCCTGACTGACACTTCGAACTCGGAATTGAATAGTAATAAAGGAACTCTGTGGCAGTTTTGTGGATCGACAGTATATGGGAAATGTCCTGTTCGCCTCACAATTTCTACTTACTGATTTATTGTCAGTAATAAGGATAGACTGAAACCAATAATAATAATAATAATAATAATAAT